CTCGCGATTCTTTTCATTTTCTTCTCACATTTGTTGCAACATCAATCGAAATAATGGTTTTGCGTGCCATTTCCCACCTCCATTGGCTTTCGATCCTTTATCACAGCACCCGGTGCACGGGGAAATAATTTTACAAATCTAAGTAACAGGAAATTTCTTAGGAAATAATATAACATTAATTAAATTTCCTCACAATATTTTTTTAATACATTTTCTTTTAACTTTTAACGGCTGATTAAATTGAATTTCTCACGAGAAACGGCAAAACCACTGTACTTGATTATGATTTCCTGGATTATTTTACAGCTAGTTCTGAGATATGTTGGAAAGAAATACTTTCAACGAAATTAAAAATAACCATCACCCGGTAGTAGTAATAAAAAAAAAAATTTTTTTAAAGTACAAATCAAGGAACGTATTTTTTCCACCCTTACCATTAAAAGCTTTTTCAATGTAGTTTTTTGTTTTCTTCTTCTTTTTCAAATCTCCCGATAAAAACAAGAGTAAAAGAAATTAAAACAAAAAAAAATCTTCTCTCTTTCGTTGCTCCCTTTAAGTCGTCGATTCCGTGTTCGCGCTTAACTTACCTTCACTTACAAAGCTCGACTATCGGGATTTTAAAAATAAATCTCAAGTTACGTACCGGCACTCTAACGCCACAATTACTCATATAAACGCGCGTCGGTTAGGTAAATGCGACGGAAAACGACCTCCAACGATACACCGGTTATTGTGCGATAAAAATGGGGGAAAAAAAAACGCTCAACACCAAGTGCCTCGTTAAATCACCGCGGAAGTTTTTTCCACCGCGTTTACCTTTGAACGGCGAACTGTATATACCAACGCGCGACTAAAAGCCATACGCGGCATAAATGTGACGATACCACGAGTGGGGTCGACACGAAACCTCGACCAAGTCGCAACGAGTTGCCAATTCAGCCTGGGCTCCCCAAACGTCACCGTACGAGTATGTTTTTCCTCCTCGAAGATGGAATATAATAAATTTCACCCGTGCGGGGATAGGTCGAATCAGCGAAACTCCAGCACTGCACTGGAGAGTACACACAGGGTGGCCGGGGTCGATCTGGCCTAAAAGGTTTTCCGTGTGACGGAGGCCCCGATATGAGACGCGCGTGCCCGGGATACGTTCGGCTGTTTTGCCGCTCCAGCGCCCATCCATTCGTCCCGGCGTTATACTCGTCCTCCGTTTGTTTGCTCTCCACCCCCCCTCCTTTTTTTTTTCTTCCCTCGTCCGTTTTCTCAAAGAACGCTGATTTTATCCGAGAAAAAAAAAACTAACAAAAAGTTATGGCCCCGGTAGCTTTTGTTTATGTTAATTTCATTGGCCGGAAAGGGGTTTGATGTTTTTTCAGTGCGAGCTGAGCCGTAATATGTGGACCGATCGATGAGAATATACCTATACCCAAGTGGGTACTATAGCTTCATGAAATTTGGGGCGAAATCGTGAAATACGGGATTTTAGGGGGAGGCAAATCAATTTGCGCGTTCGCTTAAGTAAAATATGTACACGGGGTCTACTCTCGAAGCTATAACGGGAGATGTTCATTCCTAATGCATTTGTCGATCTCGCGTTGATCGTTGTATGGTTTCTCGGCGACCGGTGGGAGGAAAAATAAAAAAAATCTCTAATTAGCCACTACCAATTACAGATACGTTTTTCCAACTATACGTCCAACCAAATTTTCATAGCCAGCTTGAAAAAACGGTCAATTGCTTTAATACGCCGCGTACCGATTTCCAGGACGAAAATCGGCAACTCCATTACGAAATATCGTGACTCTGAAACTAGCGTATAGGTACCTATTTACGTAATGTATACTTGGAGGGGTTGACGCACCCCCTCGTCTGTGATTATTTCCCTTCTCCTTTTTCCCGTTGGATGAATCACGGTAACAAACGCCGCGCATCCTTTGGCGAAGAATGAGCTCTCTCAAGTTAGATCAGTCGAATTAGTCAATATTGACTAATTATAAGTGAAAAGTCGTTTACTTATCACAATAAGTAAACGACTTTCACTGACCGATTCAACTTTAGAGGGAGCGACAGATTGCAACGCGTCAAGCGAGAATGCACCCCCGGAAGGAAAGAAGAAAAGGCCGGGGGGGAGGGGGGCACAGCCACCTGGGAAATCACGTGGTATAGCGCTGGGCTCGATCGTGAAAGGGTATATACAAGCGGAGAGACGGACGCCTGCACGCGCGAACAAACAAGCGAAGGAGATTAGACGCGAGAGGCGCGGTGATCAGGAGGGACACACAATATGATAAGTAAGGCTCGGCGCGTCGTTTATTATACGGGACAATATTCAAATGTGGCCCGTTTGACGGGTATATATGTATATTGTATAGAACAAGGAACTCGTGCACTCACGTATACATATCGAGTCTGCAAATATTTGTACCTGCGTGTATACATACATACATATATATAGGGTACGCGTAATCCAATAAGGCACACACACATACACACGTTATAATGTATGTATAGGTACATGACCCGCGTACGTGCATATCTTTTGTACACATTGTGTATAGGTATATACGCGCGTGCACGTGATATTACATGAATGTATGAAATCTTGAGAGGAGGCGGTGGGGCGCAGGTGCGCCACGCGCTGTGCAAATAAGCTCTCACGTTCGCATCAGACACGTTTCGAGGGTCGAGTAAGGCGAGCATACAAATGTAGCGTATACGGGGGGGGATACATTTTGCACACTCCCTTGGTCTTGGGAGCCCTCGTTTGCGCGAACGGAGGTGCATCGAGTGCAGCTTACTCGCGAAACGAGCGCTGCTAATTAACCAAGTCTCTCGCGGCTCAGATATAGTCCAACAACCTTTTTTTTCTTTTTTTTTTTTAGTCCTCCCGTGGTATCACGAATATCATTTGCAAACGCATGCGAATCGCATTACCGCGTTAAAGTGTACCTACTCGAGGCCATTGCGGCTATTATGGTACAACCGCGATGGTATAGGCAAAAGTGAATACCTGTGCCATTCAGCGAACTTTGAGTTGCGTGTTTTGGGATATGTACATTTTGCCCTTTGAATCTTCGTCATTGCAAAGTGTACAGCGGGGCATTTACCGCCATTCGGTGGCCTTAGCGTCAAAGCAACGGTGTAATAGCAACGCCTTTGACCTCGTGCCATTGGAGTTGTTTCTAAATTTACACTCCACGTGAATCGAGTACACTCGTCGTTTCAATTTACGTGAATCGACTTTGTGGGGGAAAATTTTAGCTCAACAGACACCTTTGCGCATTAAATTTCAATTGCCCCATTTGTGGCGTACAAAAAAAAAAAAACTCCCGTTTGTAAACCACTTTTCACCCCTCCCAGCTCGGTTATTCTAACTCAACAGGTGCTGGATTCATCGCGCTCGTTCGCAGAGAAATGATATACATTTGCTTCCGTCTTTTTTTTTTTTCCTCTTCGCGTTTTTACTACCGTCCGCGCAGCGAAAAATGAACAAGGCTTCCTCGCACGAAAAATTGCGTGGGATTAAAATTCAATCGGGAACGCGTTGGAGGGGATTTTTATTTGATCCGAAATCATCTGTATGAACCATTGCTGCGTAGGCGGAAGTGGTACAAGTGACTTGATCCGAAGGTCGCGCTTTGGTGGTATGCTTAGCAAAGTTTGTTGGGTCGATGGGCGATACTTGGAGCGTCTTCGCTCGGCTAATAACGTAAAATCACCGGCCAACTCTGGAGGTCGAATGTACAGCGTGGGGTTCGGAAGGGAAGCCAAGGTCGATCCCCTATACTCGTCGCGCAGCTTATTAGCCAAACGAGTGTGCCCGACCACCTGGTCCAGCTCGTGGATAGTCTACAAGCGTCCGACCCCGTCGACTAGTCGCTCCGGAGTAAAAATTCGATTTGCCCGAAAGTGGCTGTCCGAGGTTGGGTATGGGAGCGCAAGGTCGGTGTATTAGCATTCCGGGGCTTCCTGTCCGAATAACCCTGTGTATTATACGAGGGTCGATACAATCTGCTCGGCCCAATTGATCATTAAAATTACCATATCAATTTCGCGTTTGGTGCGCTGCTTTGGGTTACTATATACACGAGACCATGGCCCTGCTGATGGTTATAGCGCGTCTCGAGGCTGTACACGTATAAGCTTGATTAATGTCGTTTGTCTTCCCGTGAGCGTAGCTTGACTAATGTGCAACGCGACGCTGTACGCGAGATTATGTGTCCAGAGTCCCCCTCGCAGATGCGCACAGCCCGGCAAGATCTTGATGATTTTTCAACCCCCCCACCCCCCTACGGTCTTGCACTCGAGCAAAGAAGTTTGGCCCTTCGTGCATTGTCTCCGAGATTTTCCCTCCGGCTTCTTGTTTAGTTGTGTAGGTATACTTGACTAAGCGCGCAGTGGCTCAGTCGACTAGGTCGTGGATTGACACGCGGGAGACCGTGGTTCAATTCCCGGCCATAGTGCGACTTTTTCGGGCAAGTACCTCTGTGATTGTTCACATGTGCTTTTTCACCACGCAATGCTCCTCGAGGAGGGTTTAGGTGACCTTCTCGCAGCAAAGATTGCCTAATTTCTCCCCCTATCACCCTCTCAGCAATGGGAGGCTTCCTATCCCTCTTTCCTTCCTCCTCCAAAGTGCTAAGTGCTCTGTGTAGTGCCCTTTATAGGAGCCGGACGTAAAGCACTATAATATAAAATAAAAAAAAGGTATACTTGACAACCCTACCCCTACCCCCCCACCCCCAGTATCGCATATGTATAGTAATATATATGGTTGGGAAAGTTTGTTTGCGGCACTTGTTCGCGAAACAATTGGCACGAGAGTGCGTTAGAAAAGTTTTCTCGAGTGGCCTATAAAACAAAGAGATTTTTACGTTTTTTCCCACGATAGGTCGATAAGTGCAACTTGATGCGAGTTTTCCAAGGGTCAAGTGAAAAAGGAGTGAAAAAAAAGTGGCAAAACGTGAAATTAACGAGGTGGGTGGTAATTAACGTGTTCGCAGGTTCCATAAGCAACATCGACGGAGCCGAGTACCACTGCAACAAAACAGCCGTTCGAAAGGTGATTAGCGGCGTCGTCGGGGCCGCAAGCTCCGTAACATCGATCCAAGTCGCCAATCTCCTCCGGCTGTTCCGCATACCTCAGGTTGGTGGTAACCATACGCTCGATACATTGAAAAATACTCGATGTTATTTATCTTACTCACCGGTACAATGAGCCAATTAGAATAGCGCTCAACGGGGTCAACGAAAAGGGCGTCGTTGGCACATCAGAAAATTTATTTGGAGGGAAAACCCGATATTGGCAGGGATGTATTTATGTAATATTCCGAGTTTCGATTACTCGCGGGCCAGTTGATGCATGCGAGCGGTGGTGATTTCGTTCAAGCTTCACCGAGCCGTGCGAGCGAGCCACTGGCCTGAAAAGCATTGTGCCGTGAAATCACCTTTCCCCTCCTGTCATCGACCCCCCCCCCCCCGTATCTCGCAACCTCCAGACGTTCCCTGCTCTTCTAGCACTCTATCTCTCTCTCTTTCTCATTTTCCGCCCCTGGACACCTCCCCCGCGCCAGCCTTATCCACCCAGCCACTTTCTTTCCCGAGCCTCTTATTGCCATTCTCCGTTCGCATTATCTCCCGAGCACCTGAATCCCCAAGATATATCCGATATTATATACCACCTACACCGGGTTGCATAGTGTATTCACCTTACTTGACCACCCTCCCTTGGGATATAAAAGGGCATAAACAGCTTAACCTATTGCATTTATAACTGCTACTATGCATATATGACCAATAACCCTCGTTCGAACTTTGTTGATTGAAACAAGAGGGAGCCGGATCACCCGTCGTATTTTATGCAGCAGCGCATCATCATTTATTCCATTCCACCGTCAGAATGTATAAGTGTACGTACGGACGCGGAGATAATCAGTTTTTCGCATCTGCAATTTCGCGGTTATTCCTCGGATGTATATATATATATATGGACGGGGAGATGGGGTGACGGAGGAAAAATCCAGGGATCATGTAAATGAGCGTTTGGCTTGTTTGATGGAGAGTCCCTGACTCAATCTCGAGTGTATATAGGTGTGGGACGACGGGGTATTCCTCTCACGTAAGCGGGCCCTATTTGCATCATCGACGAGTTTCGACCCGTCCCAGCTGTGCAATCGCTCTTAATAGATCGGCCAGATGATGATTCGGCAAAGGCTCTTTGAAATGTATCGCGCCGTTGATGTGACCCCTACCCCCTTCCGGACGTAATGTTTAATTGGCCCCTTAAGAGCCCCTGCCCCTTTGATATTTCGAGTTGTTTTCTCAGTGGGGCAAACTAATGTTTTTTGCCAAATAAAAGGTCAATGATTCGAGATCTGTATAATAAAGACACTACTCTACGGCTATGATCTTCAACCAATTTTTTTTCAAAGATCGTGGATTTGCAGCAAAAAGGACGATAACTCGTTACCCTTGCCTACATGTTATTGTATGTGAATACTGCATTGACTGGATTTTTCTTAGACAATCGTCTTCTTTGTGATTTCTTTTGGATTAGTAAAATACAAAGAAACCCAAGAATTAATATTAAGTCTTTTATTCAAATCTTTTATGATCCATTTTAATAAACACAATGAAAGCACCAAGTTTTTTATGATTTATCTTAAGAGCTTTGGAAGCTTTTCTATGTATTGTACGAAAGAATAACTAAAAGACAGCGGATAAATATTGAAAAAGACGATATGATTTGTTGTCACTGACAATTTCCAAAACGATGTCAAGCACAAAAATGTGATGGTAACTTTATACGCTTCGACGCGAAATCAATATCATTAGCTACGGGTATGCAAAGTACGGCAAGATAAATGTCAAGTTGGAGGAATTTATCAATGTCAAACTGTTGGCCGTAAAATTTTTACAAAGCCGCGAGTCAGCACAAACTTACTTTTCAGCAAACAGCGTTTCCTGTCCTCCGATTCGCTTCGCGCAAATGCAAAATTTCCGACTGTCTGTTTCCCCCCTTGCCTACCATTGACAGAAATAGGATGGCAAAAAGTGAACGGGGAAGCGCACGCGATGGGTCCCCATTATATGAGCTCAAGAAGTGAATAGAGGAGAGCTTTTTCCTTTTCTTGCGTTTCTCGGCGTTTTTCCCGAACATTAGTATAATACGTAGCATTGTCCCGTGAGCAAATGGTGATTCCATCGAAGAAAAATAAAAATCGTGCATGAGTTGTTCCCAAAGCATGTTCACTGTAACTAGGTACTTTGGAGGTGTTTCAAAATAAGACGCTCTAATTGAAATTTCAATGTTATTATGCAAAAAAGCTCCTCTGCCTTATTTCGCGACCCGCCGACCCTCGCCGGCGCAATATCGAATCCCTTAGTTTTCCCCGTTTCGTATAAATTTGCATACAAATGCCCAAATAAGAGCCTCCTCGAGAAAGTCGACTCGAACTTCTTCAACCGGAATGTTGTGCATCGCCACGACGAGTACATGTATAATATTACTCGCACATAAAAAACAAAAGCAAGAAAGGGTTGAATCTCCGTCGAGAAGGTGATCGGTCCAGCAAACGTTTGTCGCCCCGCGGCGATTACTGAAGTCGAAAGCAAAAGTGCTCGGCAACGAGCCGGCGATTAAACGAAGAAACGGGGTGGGGATATGGGAGGGGAGTTATGGAAATTATCGATCGGAGTCGCGTCCATTAGCGGAATAAAGGAGTTATTAGCCCGGCACCAAGAGCTGGGCCCCCCGACCCTCTCGGATTTCAGACGAAGATGGAATTCCGGCACTTGGCTTTTCCGCTCTCGCGCTATACAATTCGCCTAATCGATTATTCATGCGCTGCCCGCCACCACCGATAAACTGCACAGATGGTATACCCTGCGCAGTCACTCTATTTACAAAGTGCGGCCCCGGTATTGGGTACATCCCTCTCCAACCCTCCCTCCATATAGCCCACCGACTCGTGGATTCTCGCTCTTTTACAGCTTTCATTTTCGAATCTAATCCGCGCGGATGCGCCCTTTAATTGGCACTCGCGGTTGTCCAACATTTGACGCGCCACTGCAAAGAGAGAGAAAAAGGCGCGGGGGGGGGGGGCAAGCCAAATTAATTAAACGGGTTGGAAAATATAGACATTCGCGTTGCGCCACCCCCACGGTCGAAACAAACCAGTGGCTCTGGCTGTGCGTAGTCCTCCGGAATTATGCTCGATGATGTAGTCAGGATTCTCGGCCTCACCGAAATACGTTAACAAGATTATTCGGCCTCCGAACGATCGCTCGACGAGGTCGATTTCTTTGAAGAGCCCACTCGACTCGTTTATCGATTCTCATCAACTACGCCGCGATCCCGCCATCGTCATCATCGTTCGATTTAGCGTGTTACCTACTCTACCGAGCTCGAGCCTAATTTTCGCGGTAACCTAATTTCTCGTCCTTTGTATACCGATCACCGATTTACTTATTTAAAAAGGGAAATATCCTCCCGTTTTATTAACAACTTTTTGTTTCTGTTGATCCGAGAGGAATAAATACGCCGACGAGGATGAGCGTACACGTTACAGGTAACAATCAAGACGAGTCGAGTGGAGCGAGAGAAAAAAAAAGGATTGCAAAGTATAGTGAAAGGAGATTACATGTATACAACGAGATGATACGAGTCTCGGGAGGTTCTACCATTACCGAGCTTTTCGATTCAAATTTCAAAGAATACATACAGCCACTCTCACGGAAGAGGTCCGTGCAACCCTGAATATTTTCAAAAGCCACTCGGGCCTAAAAACAAAAACTTCCCCCCCCCACCCATTTTACGAAAGCACCCCTCGTATTTCGACTCTTTTGTGCCGAAAAGCACAGCTCTCGCATAAATATGCAAAGCGCATATTTTTCGAGTTTTTAAAATTCACCAGTTTTAGAAACGACAAGAAACAGAACGAGAAATTTAAAAACTGTAGATACAAATAAATACATCGTAAACAATCAGACGAGCGCGTGTCGCAGTTTATCTGGAGCGCTTGACGTCCCAACTTTGAGCAATAAAAAGGAGTTTGAATAACAGCAAAAAGTCGCAAAAGCAATGAACCCCGACACCTCTACAGTGGGCGCGAGATGGGGGAGTAAAAAACAATTACAAACACAGCGCACGCAAAAATATGGTTTTACGCGCCGAATGCCTTTCGTTAGATCTTGGCCCGACCGGCACGCGGTGCGAATAACCGTGGTGGTGCCGCAACTGCGAGAGCGACGACGAGCGTGGTAATCGAATTATCCCGAGCACAAGGGGATGTGTATATGTATCGTGGAATTGAATTACCGACGAACCAGATTGCTCTGTAATTTTAAAGCGCTTTGCCGGTGCACCACCACAATTCTCTGTACCCCGATCCCCTTCACTCAACCCGCGGAACGAACTCTCGCGCGCCCGAGCTATTCGATGAGCGCGTGGAACGTACCATCTTTCTCGTTTCTTTCGATGATTTTTATTGCTGACAAACACTGAGCTTATATGCACCTTATTGGCTTTGGGTTTTCAGTAACCAAGACACCTGCCATTTGATTACATGTAAACTACTTGTATACACTGTGGGATGAAAAAGAAAAAAAAAAATTTGGCACATCTGTACGATACGATTTAAAACGATTCAGAGTAAAATGTGTAATTATCGTAGGTGTCGTTTTTCTCAACGAGCCCGGAGTTGTCGAACAAACAGCGCTTCGAGTACTTCACCCGCACCATACCCAGCGATCATTACCAGGTTAAAGCCATGGTCGAGATAATCAAGCAAATGAACTGGACTTACGTGTCGGTCGTTTACGAGGAGAGCAACTACGGAGTCAAGGTGATTTCAAATTGTACATGCATACACCGGATGATATGCGCGTTATTGTAACGAGGCTGTATCCACTTGGTGTTCCAGGCCTTCGAGGAGCTGGAGAGCCTGCTCGCCAAGAACGACATATGCATCGCGGTGAAGGAAAAACTCGTCAAGGACTCGGGCGTCGCCGACGAGAGCGTCTACGACTCGATAGTCCAAAAACTACTGACGAAGCGCCGAGCCCGAGGTGACATTTCTCTTCATCTTAATGCTTTCGTTCACGAATTTTCACTCCCGATAATCCCGAGAGACTCCCCGTGTTATCTCATTTTCATCTCGCACTCGCACACCCACTCCCCTGCACTCTTCATCACACTCCTAATTCCCCGCGAATCACAGCCGCGCGTATACACCCATCGGTATAGATGGATACGCGAGAACCGGCTTGTTGAGGCCCCCTCGCCCATCGATACTTTGGGCAAAGAAAGTTCACCCCCTCGAAAGTGATGTACATATATATATACATCCTCGTTTCCAGTGACAAGCTCCACGAAAAATCGCAAGTGCCATTGTACAGAAGCTTAAATTTTTAACAATCGCTTCGAGAGGCCGGGGGCGGACGTGATTAACAGCGTGATGGGGGGAGATATAATGACAGTGGTAATGGAATTGTTGCAGGTTGTATAATCTACGGGTCGGACCAGGAGGTGGCTGGCCTGATGAGGGCGGTCCGCCGGAGCAACGCGACAGGGGTGTTCTCGTGGATCGGCAGCGACGGCTGGAGCGCGCGGGGCTTGGTCAGCGACGGCAACGAGGCCGAGGTCGAGGGCACTCTGTCCGTCCAGCCGCAAGCCAACCCGGTCGAGGGCTTCGAGGAGTACTTTTTGAATCTCACCGTCGAGAATAACAAGAGGAACCCCTGGTTCGTCGGTGAGTCGGGCCTCGACCCCAATTTTGCTGAACCCCCTCCTTCATTCCACGCCTCGCGACAATCAGCGAACTCAGCCGGATAATAACAACTCCAACTTTTCTTACACCCCCCTTCGTGGCCAGGTGGGAAATCTCTCGATAACTATACGTATATTTATACACGGTTGGGGGGAAATTGATTCCGACGTGTACGAGATGCGCGATATAAATGCGAGCTTCCCCTGATGCCTTTCCTATACGTGTCTGAAAAAACAAGCGAGACGCGAGTTGGCGGGGTCATTTACTTGGGCAATAAGCGAGTCAAAGGGGCCGAATTGATCGGTGGGATTTCGCGGAGCGTAGGAAGGAAGAAATGACTTGGAAGTGAAAAATTCGCGCCTTTGAGGAAAACGGAGGTGGAAGGGAGCTGGATTTACGTAATGGCTTACGTGATCCCGAAAGCCATACGCGACTTTTTTCCGGTGGTTGGGGGGAAACAAAAAATTCCCCAAGAAGTGTGTTCATCCTTCCCGCAAAGTTTTAATGATCCATTGGATGCGCTTAGGGGCAGATTAGCGGGGGGGTTAATATAAATTCAGGTACGCGCGATAACAAAGTGTAATAGGTAGACCTCGGCGACCGTCCAAGTGACCCCGATCGCTCGAGAGAGAAAAAAAAAAAAGAAAAAAGTTTCGTAACGGCTTTGTTTGCGTGGCGCGGATGAATCGATATACGTGAAATACACCGAGTGAGCGCGTGGGTATTATACATACATAAGAGATTCGCTCTCGGAATCTTAATCATCGATGTGTATAAAAAGAGCTCGCAATTACGGGCGACCTTAATTAATACATCAAGTGAGAGCGCGCGGGGGAGAGAAAGCAGAGCGCCACCTCCCTTTCTCAGTGGCTCATTAGCTTTTGTCGTGGACTATCTTGACTAGTGCCCGAAGGAAAATCTTGTTGTTGTTGTTGTTGTTGTTGTACTTTGATATTATTTTCATTTTTGTGGATACGTCTATTTTTTTCCCTTTTTTTTTTTTTGCTTCCTCCTGGTATGTAATTTTATTTTTTTATCATCATATTGTGAGTTTAGAAATAAAAGGTTTTCCAATGAATGGAGGTATTTTCATCTACGTAATTTACTATATTTTCTTATTAAATTTTACGTTTATGTAAAAAAAAAAATATTTCTTTATTTTATAATAATTTTATCATTTTCATAGTCTAACAAAAAAAAATTTTTTTTTTAATTTTTTCGGCTTGGACTCGTTAAAATTACCTGATATGAAAAACTACAATTAAAAACTTGATTATTTTCTTAATTAATACATACTTCTTGTGCGCGATGAAAACACTGGAAAAATTTCAAGTTAAATTTCTAGGCAACATTTAAAATATCTTATTTTTATTTCTTAACCTAATATTTTTCAAAATAAATATAAAAACAAAATACAATACTGCAAAATTAAATTAAGGACGCGAAAATCTTTTTTAAATAAACTTAACTTTTTCACAAGTAATTGACAAGACATTTTTTCCCATCATTATAAATTACGAACCAAAGCCCAAAGTTTGAATACGCATGTCATGTACATCCAAGCCCTCCTTATTATAAATTCTCGCAGATGATCTTCTTTAGAGATTAACAGTTTAAGAGGGGAAATCGTCGTTATCCGCGCAGCACTGAACGAACGCGAGCTGCGGCTGCAACGAAACTAATGGGATGCCCCAGCGAATGAAATCTGCTCAAAGTGAAAGCACGGCAGAACGCGATTCAAAGAAAAAGATCGTATGTATAATGGTGGTTTAAGAAAATTTTCCTCGGCAAGAAAAAAAAAAAAAAAAAAAAAATTGCAGCATTTTCCAAGATACAACGCCAATTTACTCGACACCTTACACCTACTTAAGCTGAAAAATTCACGTGTACAAGAGGCGATGGATGTCCCGCGTCAGCCGCGGACTCGAGTCAATATATCTTTCTTCCCTACTTACCCTCGAGTGTCTAGCGACTTGGCCTTCTTTTACTTCCTCGCAGTAGCTATACCAGATATTATGTAGTACTAGCAAAAAAAAAAAAGAAAAGAAAAGAAAAAAGATTTCTCTGTAGCTCGGAGCCACGCGCGCTTAGAGCATGCAACTTATGACTACTTACGTCAAACACTCGAAAGGGAACCGCTTGAACTGAAAGCGACTCTTTTTTTTCTCCCCTCCTCCTCCGCCCTTCTTTCACTCGACTCTCGGCAAATCTTAGACTAGCGATGAGCCCGAAACCATGCACTGCCAAGGAGCGCGCTCGTATTTGTTTCACTGTTTTTTTTTGTTTTTTTGTTTTTTTTCTTCTACTTCTTGCGCGTCGGTGGCCTTAGAAATCAAGAATTAAATCGACACGCCATGCGCGTCGTAATGGTATAAAAAAAAAAAAAAAATTATTGTCATGGTAGTAATTCTACAGAGTGCACTTCGAAAGCACACACGTATGCCACGTGGAATGTATACGAGCGTAAATTTAATTTCCAGCCGCATCAGGATACGTCGCGCGTGCATCATAAAAAAATGTCATTTCCCGGATAAAATAAGAAGGAAAAAAAAAAAAAAAAGAATCGACGAAAGGAGGGTGGAAGAACCGTATTAAGGCGGAATATTGAGTTGCGCCCTGCATATCCTTTGACTTTATGCACCTCACATATTTGCGATGGTACATACGTGGGCGGATACACGTCACATAATAATATATATATTATGTATCGTAGGTACGCCTCTTTCGCGACATATTGGTATTTCGCGATACTCGAGGTGTACGCATGTATGGGTAAAATCGAGGGTAAAATCAAACATAAAGTCCATCATATATTTATTATACCCTCGATACGCGTATGCGATTCTCGTCCATTTGCAGCAAAATTTTTGTTAATGGTCATTATCGTATGTACTTACATGAAAATGATTTCAGAATTTTGGGAAGATCATTTCAAGTGTCGATATCCAAACTCATCGCTGACACCTTACAACAGCAAATACGAGAATCTGTGCACGACGAAGGAGAGGCTGAGCAAAAAGGACATGGCGTTCGAGAACCAACTGCAATTCGTCTCCGACGCCGTGATGGCCTTTGGCTACGCGTTTCGGTAAATTTATCCGCGACCACAATCATTTTTTCATCGAAATCCGATTGATGTTATTTTACACTTTTGTTACATCCCCCCCACACGTTTGATGTTGCAGCGACATGCACAGCGACTTGTGCCACGGTAAATTTGGCTTGTGCGACGAAATGAAGCCAACGAAGGGGGAGGAGTTGCTGAAGTACCTACGCAAAGTCGATTTCGAGGGTAAGGCTATATATAAGTGTACTGTTATTTTTTTTTTAAATAATCCAATCACCGACTGAGAAAGAGGAAGTAAAATTGATTTGTCGTGCAAGGTCTCAGTGGCGACAAATTCAAGTTCGATAGCAACGGCGATGGTCCGGCTAGGTACAACATCCTTCACTTCAAGCAAGTCGCCGCGGGCCGGTACGAGTGGATTCGGGTCGGCAAGTACTTGGAGGACACTCTGCACCTCAACATGTCAGGCAAGCCTTTGTTTGTTTGTTTGTTTGTTGTCTCGTTGAATTTTACGCAATTTTTTCAACAACAGCATAGTGAACCATACTCTTATGCGTACATCTGAAATTTTTGAGCCAATGGCTGTGCCAGAGTGTACCTTTTTTTTTATTAAAATTTTCTAGAGATCACGTCTTGAATCTTCTTTAATTTCTCGAATCGACGTATATATTTTGTTCCGAAATTCGAGATGATTATCTCTGGATATTTGCACATTACTGCACGTGCCCGCCAGTAAGTATCTGTCATTTCAACGTTTCCCGTGCAGGCGCGCAACTAAAACTCTCATCTCGAAGAGACAGAGTTCGCGTACAACGAACTACATAATATTATACTTGCGACGAAAGACAATGAAACTTGCGCCTTACATATATATATATATATACATACCTACACGTGACACGTGCCGCGGGGGCCAAAGTAGTTTATTCGTGTCTCTCTTGGCTTATGCTTCTCGGTGTCCGTGTGTAGAAGTGAGATTCCGACTGGAGCGAGCCGCCCCACCGGAGAGCGTGTGCTCCCTGCCCTGCGAGTTCGGCCAGGCAAAGAAGTACGTCGAAGGCGAGAGCTGCTGTTGGCACTGTTTCAATTGTACTCAGTACCAGGTTGGTCATGTCCCGCACGTCCACGGACGCCCACCCTCCGCCCCATTCTCGTTCTCTCCGCACGTCCCCAAGTCCATCTTTCTCCCACTCGCCTAATCTCCATCCCCCCCTCCTTTTCTCCCTTCCCGCTTTGATCAATAGCGAATACACGCAGCTTCGTCCTGATTGCTGGATCGCTTACTCTTCGCTCATTGCGCACCTATTGAACCATCCCCGACACGTTTCCTTTTTTTGTCCCCCCTTCGCCGATTAGTTTCATCAACGGTACGTGCGATTGTTCCAGGCGGAAAAAAAAATGGTTTCTGCTAGACAGTTCCTTTTTTTTTTACCTTTTTTGGGACATGATTTAATTTAATTTAATTTTGGGGAGCTGAAATAAATAGCTTACTCAATTGTAAATCGTACGTTATATAAATCCGAGCTCGAACTTTGGTGAAACAATCGAGGCGAGAGGGGTGGAGGGTGGTGGAGAAAAAAAAAAAAAAAAAAAAGAGTCAATTTGAGAATGCAAATTCAATGAGGCGAATGAATAATTTTCTCGTTCTTCTGGCCCGGCCCGCAGATACGGAAACCAGATGACGAGACTCAATGTATCGATTGCCCCGAAGGAACCGTCCCGGACGACACTCACTCTTACTGCCGTGATATACCGGAGGAATTTTTAAAGCTGGAAAGTGGATGGGCCATCGGCGCCATGTCCTTCTCCGCCATCGGGATACTGGTAATTGATGAAATCGATTCCCATTCCACGCCCCGGTGAATCAAATGAACGACCGCCATCGATACAAGCCATACATATATATATATATAATACCGGCGGCTCTGATTTACCAACCTTTTTTTTCACTTATACATACACTTTATTAACAGCAACAGTGGCGCTATTTTCAATTTCAAAGGGGGCACGGAAAAAAGAAAAAAAGGAAAATACTTTTTTTCAGGTGACGCTCTTCGTGGCGGGCGTTTTTCTCAAGCACAACGACACGCCCGTCGTTAGAGCTTCCGGCAGGGAATTGTCTTACATTTTACTGTCGGGGATCCTCCTGTGCTACTTGGTTACGTTCGCCCTCGTCTTTCGCCCGACGAACATTGTTTGCGGAATCCAGAGGTAAGACGACGGCTTTTCCACCTATATTCGTGCGCACACGCCCCAAACCGAAAAGCTTCGAATCATCCAGGTACGCGGATTACTCGCGCTTACACGTGTATTAAACTCCATTCGAAATTGCCCTCCTCGTTACAGCTCTATTGAGGCTCTTAAACGTGTATCCAGCAACTTCTTGTGGCTGTCTGCCCCTGATGAAACGCCCCTTGATTGATTTACCGTTAATTGAACGCGACGCTAACTTGTAAATTTGCATCAGTAATTACGAATCGACTTTTTAACTTGAATCCCCCCGCGTGATTTGGCAATATTTCACGTGTTTACATTGATTCTCCGTCGCTGAAAAGAAGCAATTTTTTCTCTTTCGGTGCATAATATACAATTCAATTGTGCGCTTGGCACTTGGAGCTGCACGTACCATTTTCATACAGAGTTCAAAAGGAGCAGAGTGTCTTTGTGTGGATATACATTTTTTTTCTCTGATTTATTTTTTAAATAAAAAATAATCACGCTCTCCCTTTGCTCCGTACAAAAAAATACGCAAGAGCGCGTTCTCGGCAGCGCAATTACATTAGCCAAAGCACTGCCTCTATCTCGATCTCCGCCGATGCCTTGGGGCCGCGTGATTCAGCGAACAAAAGTTCGTTGCGGCACCACCTCAATGATCCCCCGAGAGCTTACTCGCAATTAAAAAAATTAGGTTAAAATTAATTAAGATCGATGTCGTTCGATGGGTCTAATAGCCTCGCTAAAGGGCTCCTCCTTTTCGTTGATTAAAAAATATTTCTCCGTCAAAGAGAAAGGAAGGGAGGAGGGAGGAGAGCTCGTTAAGAGCGGGATGAGTCACAAAGGTGTGTGTAGGGTGGGAAAAATGGAGTCCACGCCCACCCTATGAATCTCTCTTTTTTCGCATGTAAGTCCAAAGTGAACCGATGGAGCAAACGAATGTGTATCGCCGTAGATTCGCGGCGGGCTTTTGCTTCACGGTGGTGTACGCGGCGCTGCTGACCAAGACGAACCGGATATCGCGGATTTTTCGGGCCGGGAAGCACAGCGCCAAGCGGCCGTCCTTCATATCGCCCCGTTCGCAGCTGATTATCTGCTCGATGCTGGTCTTTGTGCAAATCCTCATTAACGGGGTCTGGATGGCCATTGATCCCGCCCGGGCCATGCACCATTACCCGACCCGCGAGGACAATCTCCTCGTGTGCAACAGTTACCTCGACGCCAGCTACATGATTGCCTTCACCTACCCCATCATCCTGATCATCGTGTGCACGGTCTACGCTGTGCTCACCAGGAAAATACCCGAGGCTTTCAACGAGAGCAAACACATCGGTGAGCCGTGCCTTGCCACGCTTTCATTGCATAATTTTACCACTTTGGCTGCATGATCAATTTTTAACGAATCAAAACAACAACAGTAAGGATTTTGTATGTACTCCAATGGTACTTTAATGGGATTGAGTTTTGATGTAGCATTTTGTGTTGTAGCGTTTTGAGGGGGCTGAAAATCTGTATGTGTGTAATAAATAACCCAATGCCACGGAAGAAAAATATTACATGCATACGTTATTTTTTATCAATATCATTTTGTTTCGGGATTTTTGGTCTGGGAACGTTGTGTCTTAGAATTTTCGCTAGAAAATCATGGCAATCTTGAATTTCTGGAAGAAAAGTCATTACGTTCCGAAAGTGTTCGCAAGAAGACATTGCATCTTGGAAACTCTTGGGATTCCATGATGTGAATTGTAAATCGATATTTTGCAGCATGAAAATACAGTGTTTGTGAAAAAAATTATTTTTAATAATAATCATACTTTGATGTGAATGAAATATATTATTACAATGGAGAAAAGAATTTTCATCAATCCAAAGCAATCATTCATTTCGTTGACGTTTTAAGAGGATTCCTTCTCATTTTTTTTTTTTAATTTACTAACAAAATAACTGTACCATCCAGTCCTGAGACAACCCCAACCACCATCTGGGTCCATGTTTTTCTTTTTTTTAAACGTTGGTTAGAATATTGTTTCACATTTCAGAGAAAATTCTGTGGTATGCCAGTTTCTAGTTTGTGCATCGTTCTGTCCATACACTAGCAGGCCATCGTATTGTTACTGCAATGTAGAACAATTTTCCGACCAACGTTTACAAAAAAAAAAAAAAAAAAAAAAAAAATTTTTTTGGGTACCCAAACTGCAACAGTAAAAACACATACCTGGTATTTTTTACCACTCTTTCCTTTAAAATTATAGTGTATAAATCCCCCAGAAAGGCTGGAATAATTATTAAAGACGATATTTTCAATCAAAAAATAATTAAAATTTTATATTTTATATCCATTTCCACAAAAAAAACTCTACTTTACCTCTCTCTCTCTAAAACCTGTGTTTCGGCCTGCTATGGCCGATCGATTAAAAATGGGCTTTACTCCCCCGTTTTGTCCAACACATATACATACTTTGCGGTGGCGTACTGAAAAATAAATGATCTCCTGCCGGCCACCCCTTGTAAAACGCAACCTTGTAACCCAACGAATTTTTTTTTTTTTTTTTTTTTTTTTTTTTTCATCGCCGGCTCTCCCATCACATCGTTAAACGGCTCGACGCTCGACTGCCCACCTCTTCATTCATTTCATTGGTTTTTCAATAAAATTCTCATTATCCGCGAACGTGAAACCTCGAGCCCTCATTTTTAGCTCTAACATGATAAAAAAAAATCCCTTCGTTATAAAGCTAATGGCTATTTGTGTAAAAATGACGGGAAATATAGGTCGCCCTCTCATTTGATTTTAAAATGCATTATTTTTTAGCACTCGCGTGAAATCGGCGCCCGATGGTATTAATAACTCGACATCGTGGACCAGCTTGTGAGAGTAAAATTCTCTTGTAAGAATCTTAAAAAGAAAGGAAAAAAAAATTAAAAAAACTAAAGAATATTCAAATTACCTCGTTGCTAAATTATTCGTAGAAACGTGAAGAGTTTAATAAAACCTGTCGAGCTTGCTACAAATACCTAAAGGTCGTTTTTTTTATCGCTCTCGTGAAGTTTGACGGAAGTGAAAAAAAAAAAAAAAGAATTTTCAAAAGCAGGCAAATGAAACGAGAGTCGAGAACGCCAAAGGGAGAGACAAGTATATTAAAAGACCAGAGAACGAATGAGAATTAAAATCCAAATGAGAAACCGTTAAGCTCTTAAAACTTGGTGCATGAACTCCTCGAGCTTTACTGCCCCGCGCAAGTCTCGCCCCAAGACATAGCTTGGAGGCGTGTATATAAACATAGTTTACTACGCCATAAAGCTGATATAGGCGCCGTATTAACTGTTTGCAGGTTTTACGATGTACACAACTTGCGTAATATGGCTGGCCTTTGTGCCGCTGTACTTCGGCACGGGCAATCACGTAGCTTTGAGAATTACCTCCATGTCCGTGACCATCAGCCTATCGGCATCCGTGACCATCGCCTGTCTCTTCAGTCCCAAGGTATGACAACCACTCCCATCTGGCGGTTAATTAAGTCTTTTTCAAATTCATTTCCATACAGTCGTACATTTTTCTTGAAAGTAAGATTTAATAACCGACCAAAGTCTTGGTTTTGTTTCCTTTGTCGTTTGTTTCGCGGTGATTGTTTTTTTTGGTCAGAATCAGAATTACACACTGCTTAAACAAACCTATTGATGTATATTTCGTAGGTATGACCGCCATATATTATATGCACGAAAAGCTTGAAACGTGGTGAAAGCCAATTGACCACCGATTCGGTAGTTAAAAAAATATTTACGCACGTTTCACCGAGTTAGACTAACAGTTGACTTGGTAAAAATTCACAGTGATGGATTTTCAATGAATTGGTGTTGAAAAAAAAAAAAAAGCGCAAACAAAAGCAGAGAGTAACAAGGAAGAGGGAGGGGGTGGCTTTTCACGCACGTCGAGAAAGTCGGACTGGGGTTGGGAGAAAAAAAAGGCATCAAGCGATCGCAACATGGAGAATAATTACAATGAGTCTCGTGCTCCCTCTGATCTTATACGTATAAATACATACATGTATATTTATTGCAGCTATACATCATCCTGATAAGGCCAGAGAGAAACGTACGGCAGAGCATGATGCCCAACAGGCACAGCACGACAAAGAGCTCCGCAGTAACGGGGACGAACGCGTCGAGCATGATGGCCCCGATCACCCTCACCACCGCAACCTGCGACGAAAACAAAACCGTACAGAAGCACCACGCCGCGACAATGGATTGCTCGACGCAGAGCGAGTGTGAGCGCGAATATATATATATCTCTGCACCTCGTACCTGTTATACCTACACCCCACACCCCCCCCTCCTTTGGTGTATACATCCATCGACGCCCGCGCGCCCGGAATTCCGGCCGCGCTCGCCTTTCAAAACCCTATTTTCCATGTCAGCTCGCCTGCTCCATTGAGCACTTTGTGTCATTTTCCCGCGGATCCGTGTCACGTCGATGTTTCCTGCAATCGCACCATACATACCCAGTCACCAATCAGCCTTTCAAACGAATTGCCCTCCTCCATTCGCTGTGCTAATGACACCCTGTAAAAGTCCGTGAAAACTACTTCAAACGCTGTTAAATTATTACTTTTTGTACCATATCGATGATGGCCCACTCGAATGGTCACACGTTTTTCCAACGCTTTCATTTGGAAACGACTCGAGGGCCCGGTCATCGAACGCGTAGAATTAAATACTCGAGCGTTTCAAAGATCATGGAACGCGCCGGTGTTTAAAATCCGTAGGTGAAATTGAACCTATACAATCACTCGTGTGATCAAAGTCGAAAATCGTTGGCTTTATATTTATATAGGGGTGGTAGTTGAGCGAAGTGGTTTGTACAATCGTGGGTTTTGCATTTTCAGATTACGAGATGACGGTGAAAGAGCCGGCGGCGCAAAACGGCAAACCAGCGCTCGTTTCAACGGCCACGCAGACTCAAAGCGACACTTTGAGCAAAGCTGGCTCGACGTCGCCGAACGAGGAGGCCACCACCGGCGAGGTTTCGGACAACTCGTCGAGGCAACCGAACAACGCCTCGAGAATCGGCAACGGGCCGTTGAGCCAGAAACGCTGACGAGTTCATTTTTGTTCGAAAAACTAGTAAAAGAAAAACGCTTATCGAATGTTATGTCGCTGACGAACGGGTTAAGTTTATGTTATCGCGCGCTTGCTCGGTGTATGAGTGGAGAAATTTTTCGACTGTTGATGTATTGTTCGGAGTGTGGGAACCATAGTAGTACGTTTCAATGAATGTATGCTCAAGCAACAGGAAAAAATTGTGATCACGCGTGTTCATGAGATTTTTGCGATTTTCAGATTTTATGCATCGCCAACGTCGATTCGAGTACTTCGTAATATTATGTAACCGTATATTAGGATAAGTAAACAACTTGGATTACAACGTTACTGGCAGGTTCAGATCATACGAATCGAATCGAATTGATTTGATTACTCGTAGCATTATGACTATACTAGTGCGTATTTTGTAACACTTTATAATGACTCCGGTCATGCAATCATACAAAATCACGTATTGGTATGTACACCGTATCGAAAATAATTGTACATTTTCTTAAACAACTGTGGTTTGTAAAATAAAATCTGTAGATTATCAAATAACATTTAGGATTTCTTAAAAAAAGAAAGAAAAACAAAACAAAGACTGCCGTTCAATATCCGTGAACGTGCCAATATTTCAAATTCATCAAATGTACACGTAAAAAAACAAATGTAAAAAATTATGTGTATGAATAAAAAATACAGTAAATTTTAAATTAAGTAAATGTGTGTCTCCTTGTTTGTAAATATTTAATAATAAAAACCGCATTTAAAGCACCACGTTTAGCAATATAAATAAAATAGGTTATTTTTTTTCATCGCCGGCTCTCCCATCACATCGTTAAACGGCTCGACGCTCGACTGCCCACCTCTTCATTCATTTCATTGGTTTTTCAATAAAATTCTCATTATCCGCGAACGTGAAACCTCGAGCCCTCATTTTTAGCTCTAACATGATAAAAAAAAATCCCTTCGTTATAAAGCTAATGGCTATTTGTGTAAAAATGACGGGAAATATAGGTCGCCCTCTCATTTGATTTTAAAATGCATTATTTTTTAGCACTCGCGTGAAATCGGCGCCCGATGGTATTAATAACTCGACATCGTGGACCAGCTTGTGAGAGTAAAATTCTCTTGTAAGAATCTTAAAAAGAAAGGAAAAAAAAATTAAAAAAACTAAAGAATATTCAAATTACCTCGTTGCTAAATTATTCGTAGAAACGTGAAGAGTTTAATAAAACCTGTCGAGCTTGCTACAAATACCTAAAGGTCGTTTTTTTTATCGCTCTCGTGAAGTTTGACGGAAGTGAAAAAAAAAAAAAAAGAATTTTCAAAAGCAGGCAAATGAAACGAGAGTCGAGAACGCCAAAGGGAGAGACAAGTATATTAAAAGACCAGAGAACGAATGAGAATTAAAATCCAAATGAGAAACCGTTAAGCTCTTAAAACTTGGTGCATGAACTCCTCGAGCTTTACAATACATACTTCTTGTGCGCGATGAAAA